CTCGCGAAAACTCGAGCATCTCCTGGTCGCTTCCCCCTCTGTGTCATGTTCATGGAGCCTCCCAGGTGACCTGGCCTTTAGAACTTGGTGAAGCTGCTGAAGACTTTTCCACGTTTCAAGTCTGTACAAAAGTGATTTCTAAACTATCCCATTCTCTCTTCGTACCTGATTACACTCTTCCTCAGGGGCACTTACTTCTAAACCAGGTGAGATCAAACACTTTGCCAGACAGAAACACTACGACTATTGTATGTGCTGATTAAGAATTTACCATGTTTGCTTTGTGCCGGCACAGACAACAACACTGAAAAATAGAACTTTCACTCTAAGTAACCTGTACCCCAACCATATTAGCCGAATTCTTCATCACTGTCATTGTTGCTTCTATCTCATCCTTCATTCACATAAATCTCTGCCATAAACCAGTACAAATTTGCTAACCACTTTTCTATTAAAGCATATTAATTTGATCATCAACTCATAACCTGGAAACGTGCAGAAGACCTGCAGCTTAAGGAAGTTTGACAAGAGACCTCCATTATGTTGTGAGTGCGTTTGTGCCTGATTCTGCTGTCAACACTGGGTCTTCGCTGGTCCGGGAGGGTACGTTTAGAAGGAAGTGTCTGTGGTCAGTATTGAGGTGTCAAGTTCCTGCATCTTTCTTACAGCTCACAGGTACGAGCCAGTTCCACAGCGGGCACCATTCTCACTGAACAGTGGTCGCGAGCCCCAAACTCTAGAGGCCTCACACACAAACAGCCTGGATGTGCTCCCTTTAACCACTGACACTGAGGGTGAGGACGCTGACTGGTTAAATGCCACTAAAAATAGCAGGACATTCACATGATTGAACCATAGCTGCCTGTGGTAAAGGAAGAATACTTCACAGCTCACTGAGAGCAGCAAATTGTGTGTCAAGATCATGACTACTGTGTACCTGGGATACAGGTATTTACTTTTAGCTGATGAAGGTTCATTTCCAGTAGAAATGCAATCTGGGAAAAATTCATACTAAGTCACAGATAGACAACACCAATTTAAATACTTGCATTTCTCCTGTTCTGGAACTCAACCTTGTTTCCTACATCCTAACCACCACAGAAAAAATGGCAGAGTAACTCCTGGATCACGCCCCACCCCACCTCCAGGACAGGCCATGTGACTGACTCCTGATGCCCAAGTCAGGATGAGCAAATACGACGTCCGTGCCCAGGGAGATGGTGGACCTGGTGGCAGAATGAAAATAGAGACCAAACTGCGCCCAGCACCAGAGAAGCTCAGTGCTGTTAATGTGAAGAGTCAGACGGACTGACCACGGCTCAGGAAGGCAGCAGCGCAGCCAGCCTCACTTCCTGAAGAACACAGAACACAATGGCACGTGCCTCGGGTTTATACCCTTAAACCCAAGGGGACAAAGGTCTTCATGTCATGTGAGACCAGAGTGCAAAATTCACCAACACTGAATTTGCCGAAGACAGGCCACTTCCTCTTCACATCCTGGCTAGAGAACCTGTGGCTTAGGGTTGGGGGCCGCTCCCTGAGGTCCCCTCATAGAGCAGGATTACAAAGAACAGGGGGTCCTCAGTAACAGCACTGAACACCGGGACTTCTCAAGCTGAACTCCAAAATTAGTTAAGAAAATAAAATTCAGCTGATTGAATGTGCAGAAGTCCAAAATCATATTACCCTTTAACCTTCCACATATGGAAACAGTGATCAGCACTTGATGTACCATTTGCCATTTAAATTGATCCAAATGAGAAATCAAAATAAAACAGTGATTTCAGAGAAGAGCTGCCTGAGGCAGCGAAGGTCCATTTGCTGGTATGTTTGGGGCATCATCAGACTAACACTTGGCACCCACCCCCCCTGGACCAGCTCTCTATGCTCCCTTGTTCCCTCAGTCAGGTAAGCACACTTGCCTCGCTACTCACTGGGGGACAAGCAGTGGGGGGACTGCTCAGGCAGTAACTCCCACTACCCACAGTTGTGCAGGGGGCCCGGGCTCTGCCAGCTGGTCTGCCAGGTGCAGGCACAGTTCCAGGTTCATCTACACAGTTCATCCTTCAGCAAACGTCTGCTGAATGCCCACCGCTGTGGAAAGGAGATGAGGGACCTACTGCGGGATGGGATGGGGTGGAATCACCACGTATTCAGGCACAACCATCCGCCTACAAGACTGTAAGTATTTCAGAAGTGGGATGTCATGAAGATTGGGACTGGAAGGCCTGTCCTAACCTGAGGGACCACGAAGGAATCCGTGTAGAAGCAGCACTTGAACAGAGGGTTAAACGATACAGGCATTAGCAAAGGGCGCAGCACGTGCAGAATGGTTCAAATGAACATCGGAGGAGCACGAAGGTTCAAAACGCCCAGGCTGCCGTGTGCAAGGCCCTCTGACACACCCGAGCTTCAACTCCACGCAGAGCCATCTGTCTCCTCCGGTGGAAACAAAGGTAGACAGATTTACCCTGACCAGGCTCTCCCTTCTCTAAGGCTGCTCCCTTGGACCCCACAGCCCATTCCCTGGGGACAGGAAGGACGGAGACAGGCTTGCCCTCTGGTTGCCTCACCCAAAGCACCAACACTGCCACAACTGCTTGGTCACGGCAAATCCTTGCAACTAGGGACAAAGCCATCTGGCTGTTGAAATAAATGCAAGCTGGGCCTAAGGAAGACTAAATCTACGTAAATCACTCACCACTGAGGAGCATTTGATGGACAATCATGTAGAAAGCTGAATCTCGCTAATACACATGTTATAAGAAAGGGGGATTATGTTTGGGCAAGGAAAGTTTCACTGTTTATGGTAACAGTGGAATTTTACTATTTCACACCTGAAAACAGTGAAGACTCAATTGTAAAGTCTGTCATTGTGTGAAGATATTCCTGAAAAGAAACTTTAATTTCTCTTTTCACAAGTTGTATCAGATTTAGAGAATAAAAGATGATTTTGAAAAAGACACTACATAGCCAAAAACTGTAAGAGAACTCATACCAAAAGAGTGAGTTGTCCTAAATAATATTCTCTTAAAAGATTTATTTATTTTTAGAGAGAGGTGTGAAAGGGAGGGAGAAAGTGAGGGAGAGGAACATGAATATGTGAGGGAATCATAAATTCGTTGTCTCTTGCACACCCCCTACCAGGGACCTAGCCCACAACCTAGGCGTGTGCCCTGACTGGGAATTGTACCACCATCCTTTTGGTTTGCAGAATGACATCCAAGCCACTGAGCCACAACAGTCAGGGCCTAAATCATATCATCCTTTTGAAAATGATTTTCAATATATTCTTTCTGACCCCTTTATATGTGTGTGTGTATAAAGTAAATGAATAAATTTTATAAGTATATAAAATTTTCATTTTTCTTCTCAGATTTTGGCATAACTTTTCTCATCTAGATTTAGGTGAGCATTCAACATCATGCTCACTGATGCACTATGTCTTCCATAACAGGCCAAGAAACACAAGATATTCTGTGACAGTCACTCACTTCTGAGCAGAAAACCAGGAAACGACCTGCTCCCTGAGCACCTTCCCTGGAACAGGCTTCGTACCTCTGACTTGAGCTACTGATTTTTGCTGAACGCCTGAACAGGCTGTTCTAATTCATAATGGTGTGTCCCAAAAAACACTATGGAGATAGTTTTAGAATCTTTTTTGGAGAAGTCTTAGAATTTTCTCCAATAAATAAAAATTATGTAAAAGAAAAAAGTTAATCAAAACATAAACCTCTACTAAGAAAGTATATAACAGGATAAGGGCAACTGAAACAAAAAACATGACATTTTGTACAAAGATCCTAAAGCAAAAGAATTATGTCTAAGACTGAGCATGAAAGAACTCTCTTGATTCAGAACCACTTGCTCTCCTCACCGCTTCCCAGGGACAACATTTTGTGTGAGCGCTCACCCAGGGTAACTTCTCAAAAACAAAGGTTATCAGTAAAAATGCAACACTCTCTGGGCCTCCAGTTGCCGATCCTGGAATCCCGACCTGGCCATCTCCTTCCCAGTGAGAATGGGGTGGCCCCACGGCCCATAGACCAGGCTCTCTCCTCCCGGTAAGTCAGTCACGTGGGTGAGACTTGCGTAACTGTGCAAGGACCTCTCTGCCAACGCTCGACTGCGCCACCCACTCACCAACCCTCCGTCCTTCCCACAAGCGTACTTATTGTATCTGTTACCAAGTGGCTCAGAAGGGACCCAAAGACACTGCAGTGGGGTGACCAGGCTGGGTGCCACTTTACAGATCTTGGGGGCCAATTACAACATCACATTTTCTCTCTTTATTATTTGTATATGATGTTCAAACAATGCCTTTTATTTGTGGTAAAACCTTGAAGATAAGCCAAACACAAATCCTTATTTTCTTATTCTACTAAAAGGTGCATTGAACTCACCTTTTTGGGCTTCTTGTATTCAAAATATTAGGCACTAACATAATTTTGACCTCTGAGGATCATTACCTCTAAGAATATACTCTGCGAGTAATCAGTTTCATTTTTCAACACTGTCCTTTGGGGATAGGAGTGTGAAGGGCTGCAGCTCTCAGTCCCTCAGTAGATCTCAGAGGCCAGGACCTACTAGTTCTTCCTTCACTGAGGGTTTGGCCAGGAGACTAGGTCAGCAAAAGACTAATGATTTTAGAAAGAATTGGAATTTGACACACATTCTTCTTCCTCAAGTGTCCAACTGGGAACATAGGGTTATGGAAACAGCATTTTCTACTCTTATAGAACACTCTCAGAATTGGCCCTGAGTCAGTGGGATGGATGGTCATGGTTCTGGGATTGTCTGTGACAACTCTGTGACCAAGGAGCACCGTGGCCACCGAAAACTCATGTGACCTCATCTGGAGAATGTGGGCTCAGACATGGGGCCCCTTGGTGTCCCCCCAAAGCTAAGCCCTGTAATTCTGTTTACAATGGTGCTGGGTGATGGCCATTTCAAATGCTTCCCTGCCATAAGGTCTCTCTCTCTCAGAGAAGTGCGCTCACCGAAACGAAAGTAAAACAGAGGCCGGTTTCCCGCGGTGCTGGCCACCCGCTCCCTGCCAGCGGCTTCTCTGATGTCACACACCCCGATGTGGCCGGAGTGTGGCGTTCTCCTCGGGGCGCCTTCACTGTGCTGCAGTCTACACCGGGCCACCGCAGCTCCATTCGCTGCTGTAACAAGTCGAAAAAAAACTAATTAATTCAAACTTTAGTTTTTTTTAAATTTGTTACAGCGCTGAGCAGAGCTGCCGACCCCATGCAAAGGGACCACGCAACATGGGTGCCACCCGGAGCGCCCAGCCCACACAGTCAGCCACGCCCTTGGCACCACAGCTGGAGAACCACCTTTTTGGGAACTGCTTCTGTTTCACTCTTGTTTGGTAAGGCACAGAAATGAGAACCCGACAGTGTCGAAAGCCTACAGTCGGCCTGCCAGCCTCCCTCCAGGAAGTGGACGGGCCGTCTATGGAAAGGGACCCGCAGTGACGGGCCACAGGTCATCACCGGGCAGTCCTGCTAGAGGACGAGAGAAAGGGGGAGGGGGAGGCTACGGTCTACTCATCTGCCCACACGTGCTCCTAAAGCCTTTCCTATGGGGGCATCAGCCAACCAAAAACCTATTTTTTAATTCACTCGGATAGAACAGGACTTCTCCCTTTTAAAAGCCAGAACAGGAAATCAAGCCTATCAGCTAAGTCAGGCTATACAACAGGTCCATTTTTATGTTAACTCTCTTAAGAATCAAGGAAAGAGTGGGGAAGGATAGGGGGACACATGGTGATGGACAGAGACTTGAGTTCGGGTAATGAACACACAACACAGCATACAGATGACGTGTTGTGTGACTGTGCACCCGATACCTGCAATTTTGTTAACCAGTCACCCCAATAAAATCACTTTTAATTCTATTAGAATTAAATTCTAACGGAGCACTTCTGGGTGTGTCGCAGCCTGGTGATCAGGAGGGACAGAGCTGGGAATCCGTCTGTGAAATGTACCTGCTTAACCCTCCCCCAGCAGAAGCATCTGAGCCGCTGGAAAACCTTGCTTTCACAGTGAAAACTGTAGTGTTCAGGCAGCACCTTGCCTCCTCGAGCACAGCATTACCTGCATTAGCTTTACGTCATTCCCAAAGCCTAGCCACCTCAAGGTCACCTTCAAACCAAACTGAGCCTCATTAGAACTAAAGTCTGAGAGCTGCAGCCTAGAATCCTTTTCTGTCTCTTGAAATGGACAGAACCTGGCTCAAGTGCGAAGAGATTCTACAAACCTGGACATCAAGTGAAACAGATTTTGTCCTTTTTGAAGAATCGTAATGTTTTGTAATCACATTTCAAAGCAAAACCACCCTTTATGATTTCATAATCCCTGGCAGGATGTTGTATCATTTTCTAGGTTTCTAGATTTGTCCTGACCCCCAATGACTTCAGTTGGCTTAAACTATAAGCATTTTGAAGTAATCGACCACATTACTGTCCCCTATAGATGAAATACTTATTAAATATATTAGGCACACTTATAAAACATCCTGTGTGTAGTTTTTATTCCGAAAATATACATGCAGTCCTAGGAAAAACTTAAATGTGACAAGTGCCACGTCAGGAGCATGATCTTCGTGCGAATCACCGGCTAAAGAAGGATCTGAGCTCATTTCCTTCTCTTGCATGTTGCAGTGAACTCCTTAAACTACATGGCAGATAGTCACAGTTTACGTACTTGGAGGCTGGGGCAGGTAGGCACCAATTAATTTCGACCTCTTCTTCTCATATCCTTTCTGTGTGATGTCACCTGTAAGAGAAGGAAAGAAAGATTCAGGATGGTCCCCGGAGGCAGATTGAATCACACAATACCCTCTAAGAAGACATACAGGCACAACGGTTTTTTTCTGTTTGCCCTACAATTAATAATTTAAAAAGAAAACACTTCAGTCATTTGCCATGCCTTTTTCCCTTTGCCCTCAAACAAACGAAAATGCTTGCCCGGCCTTCCTCTCAGGATTTTGGCTCCAATGGGACCCAGAATTAGATTCTTGCAATCTTATTCCCATCTGCCAGAGGAGGAGACCTCCCCAGTCCGCAAGGCTCTCATTAACCTCATCAGCCACAGATGGAGCAGGTCCCTGCCCGTGACAGCTGCCCTGAAACCATCGCTGATTATCACCTTCCATTAATGAGATTTTCTTTCTAATCATCATGTGAGACCCAAAGACTTTAAACTGCTAGGATATTTTGGAAAATAAGTGACTCAGACCTAATGGAACATTAAATAAAACAAAGATAAAGAACATGGGACCTATGGAAATCCAAAATATGTGGAAGAGATACTTATCGGTAAGACAAGAATTAAAATGTTGTGAGCAGAGATGCACATACAGCAGAGCAGGAGCCTCCGCACCACGCTGACGTTCCTCCTAAGTGCTGAGGACATGGGACAGAATAACCTCCGAGACACGAGACAGCCCTTCCAGCTATAAGCGCTACTGCACACAAAATGCTGATTTTCCCCTTGAATTTTTTAGAATCTGCTTATATTTTCCTAATATTCTGATCACACCATCATGCCCAGAAGAGCCAAAACATGAGCATGAATAAAAACACAGCAGGCAAATGACAAGTTTTTATGGGACACACACAAAGCAGTGAATTTGCTTTCTCTAGTGAGATATGCTCACCAAGCTCTATCAGACCACAAAATGCCCTCAGTGTTTAATGTTTGACTTGTAACTCACAGCTCACTGTAGAGTCTTGTCCACCCCACAAAACACACAACTCATTTTTAAACATGGGGCCATAAATAACAGAAAGATATAGAAAACGGGAGGACTTCCGCCAAGATGGAGGTGGGCGTAGGTGGCAACATTGTACCTTCTCACACAACCATGTTTAAAGACAACAAAATTTTAGTAACAAAATACGCAGTCAAAACACAGAAAATTGAACTATACCAAAGTCCGACAACAATAAACCCTTCAGCCAGACCGGCAAAAGGGGCGGAGCCAGCGACTAGTGGAGTGGGTCAGGCAGGAAAACTCTGCCGGACCGACCCAGGTGCGCAGGTGTTGGCTGGCAGATCCCAGGTGTGGGGCTGCAAAGGGCAGACCCAGTGAGGGCACAAGGCAGCTGGCTGACTGCAGTCACACATTCGTGCGTAGATAAACCAGGCAAAGGAACGAGCAATGAGACAGACCATGCAAGCCCCGGTGGCGGGAAGCAGCAGAGGGGACCACCATTGCCCCTCTCTGACCCCACCCCCACATACAGTGTCACAACCCAGCGACCTGGGTGGTCCCTCCTTGGTGAACACCTAAGGCTCTGCTCCTCAGACATAGTGAGCATGAACAGACCAAAACATTGCTCAAGAAGAACTCAAAGCCACAGAGCCCATAACTCTAAGCAACCAAGAAACAGCCAAACTTTCAGATGCACAGTTCAAAACACTGGTGATCAGGATGCTCAAAGAACTGGCTGATTTTAGTCACAAATTAGAGGAACAAATGAAGGCTACACTAAGTGAAATGAAGAGAAATGCACAGGGAACCAATAGTGATGGAAAGGAAACAGGGACTCAAATCAATCGAGTGGACCAGAAGGAAGAAAAAATTGACCAAACAGAAAAGAATGAAGAAACAAGAATTCAAAAAAACGAGGAGCGGCTTAGGAACCTCCAGGACATCTTTAAACGTTCCAACATCTGAATTATAGGGGTATCAGAAGGGGAAGAGGAACAGCAACGAGTGGAAACCTTATTTGAACAAATAATAAAGGAGAATTTCCCCAATCTGGCAAAGGAAATAGACTTCTAGGAAGTCCAGGAAGCTCAGAGAGTCCCAAAGAAGTTGGACCCAAGAAGGAACACACCAAGGCACATCATCATGTCATTAGCCAAGATTAAAATGAAGGAGAGAATCCTAGAAGCAGCAAGAAATAAGGGGACACTCACCTACAAAGGAGTTCCCATCAGACTGTCACCTGATTTCTCAAAAGAGACCTTACAGGCAAGAAAGGGCTGGAAAGAAGTATTCCAAGTCATGAAATCCAAAGACCTACAACCAAGATTGCTCTATCCAGCAAAGCTTTCATTTAAAATGGAAGGGCAGATAAAGTGCTTCTCAGATAAGATCAAATTCAAGGAGTTCATCATCACCAAGCCCTTATTATATGAAATGTTAAAGGGACTTATTTAAGAAAAAAAGAGATAAAACATATGAACAGTGAAAGGACAGCAAACTCAGTTATTAACAACCACACCTAAAACAAAAGCAATCTAAGAGGACAGCTAGATCAGGAGCGGAACCATAGAAATAAAGATCTCATGGAGGGTTAGCAACAGGGTAGTGGGAGAAGGAGAAGGGGGGAGAAGGTACAGAAAATAAGTAGCATAGATGGTAGGTAGAAAATAGAGGACAGGGCAAGAATAGTATGGGAAATATAGAATCTAAAGAATGAGACACATGGTCATAAACTAAAGGGGGAGAATGGTAGGGGAGGGGGTGTGCAGGGTGGAGGGGAATGAAGGGGGGAAATAGAACAACTGTAATGGTATAATCAATAAATTAATTTAAAAAAAGATACAGAAAACGCATCCTGTTCTTGGCTGGTGAGCATTTTTGATACCACACCTATGTAAGTGGCCACCGTCGGTTGGCTGATCAGCCCAGTGTGAGACACGGCCCCCATCTAAGATCCGCCATGTTTTGCACCTGCGCCTGCTCACAGCTCGGGGCTGTGGCTGGTCACTCCTTTTTGGAAAGACTGCATAAAATATTCCATTTTTTAAAAAACATCCAAAATTTTAGCATCCTAGAGAAAAGCATGTGCACACTCTGGTACAGCTTTGTGGTCGATCAGGACAAGGCAGTGAGCAAGTACATGGAGACGCTGGCAAGAGAAGTGGCTCTCACACCTCCTTACCCTCCCCACTTCAAACTTCTCTCTAACCCAGCAATTTTTAACCGGCGTGCCACAAGAATTTTTAAAACAGGCAGTACCTGACTATTTAGTCAGGGGCACTGACCTCTTTTCCCTTAGATCATCAAATTTTTTAAAAAATGACAACAGCCAACATAACAGTCGTCAGTGGGACTGAATCAAAATTATACCTATGTTTTTGGTCAGATCGGCAAATATGTGTTTTTTGGTGTGCCACAGATTTTTAGTAATTAGTTTACGTGTGCCCTGAGATGAAAAGGATTGAAAAGCCACTGCTCTAGCTGACTGTTCTTTGTGTAATGTAGGTAACGTTGCAAGAAAGAGGAAAACACCTGCCTTTGAGAAAACAAGATAAAATAACTTGCAGAAAGAGGCACTTTCTGCTCTTTGACGGCAAAGCAGGAATAGCCTCCCAGGAGGTCCATCTTCTCCGCCCCCTGGGGACCCCCCCCCCCCCCCCCCAGCAGGCAGCAGCCCCTCCACCCCAGCATTTCCACTGCCCTTCACCACATGTTCTCCCCGATTGGTCTTTGGAGAGAGCAAAACTATCAGGAAGCTACTTTCCATGCTAATTGTTCTCTCCCTTAATCCACTTTGCCTTCAGCTCAGCATTTTACAAATTCAAAACGAGTCGGCTTTTGCAACCCAGGGGACACCTGGATGAAACAAAAGCAGGGACCAGGAAAAGGAACATGGGATGGAGAGTATGGGGGAGTCACCATCAACTAGTACATATCGGCTTCCCAAGAAGCTCCCTGTGTACTACTTGTTTACCAGGATGCCCATTCCCAGCCAATTCTCCCGGCTGTTCAACCTCTGGCACGCCACTCACAGCATCTTTGCTGGTATACCCAAAACTCAGCTCAAGGTTTAAAAAGCACTCAGGTGAACATTTAAGTATGAGTGATACAGGGTGCAGCCAGGGGGGCCCCCCCAAAAAAAAAGATTTGGAATGGTGTCCAGAATTCAAAGTGTATAGAAATATTGGAGAGACATATTAAGATGTCCTCACCGCCCCCCCCCCCAGGGGGAAGGGATGAATGGAGCCAGGCCATTGAGAGCTATTTTGCATAGCAACAGTTTTGGAGCTAACCTCTGGAGGAATGGTTATTTAACATATCTATAACCTTTAACTGGTTTCATAGATATGTTAAATAGCAGTGGCCAAGTTTGGAGCCAGGAAGAAGGGAGTAGCAGGGTCGGAGGATGGAACTTGGGGGACTCAGGATGGGAACTAAGGTCTGGACTCCTGAGTGAGAAGGGCTTGGACTGAGGAGGTAATGAGGGGCTGCGCCCCTGAGGGAGGGTGCCGCTGTGTGGGAGCTTGGAAAAGACTGGCTCCGAGACATGAAGGGTCCCTGCTTGGCCAGATGAGGAGAGAGCCACGCGGTTTCAGCAGAGTGAGGACCCCCTCTAGGTGAGGTGAAAGAGGGAGCCACGTGGTTTTGGCAGGGTGTGGACCCCCTCTTTCCCAGGTGAAAGGGAAGAACCACGCAGCTTTGCCAGAATGGAGATCCCTGCAGCCAGGTAAAGAAGAAAGCCACATGCTTTTGGTGGAGTGTGGACTCCTGCAGCTTTGGTAGAGGAGGCCCACGCGGCTTTGGGGTGCCCCCTTTGGCTGCGGGGCCTGAAAAACAACAGAGACTTTGACTGGAACTGGGTACAAAGGACTCTTGCCAGTGGACCATGAGAGGGTACCACAGTACTTTGGATTAACTCTAGATCCTGCCTGCACGGTGACACAGCTGACGGTGCCAGCGGCCTGCAACACAGACGTGTGCTCTTTTCCTGATTTACGGTACCCGGAGTTGGGACAGTGGGAGAAGGGAGCGCTGTGTGGGTGTAGGTGTATACATAAAG